ATCATCGCGATGATGAAGAGGTGAAAGTGAACCACCCTGGAAAATTCCTCGCTTGATATTAACCATTCCGTAGTTCTCATTCCCTACTGCTATATTGTTGTTGTTGTTGTTGTTGTTATTAATAATAATAATATATCATTATATATTGTTAAATAATAATATTATTATTGTTATTATTATTAGTTCCATGTCTGAACTAAAAATGGAATTTAGAGTGAATGCTCACTCAGGATTCCGTAAGTCAGGAGTGTCCAACCTTGGCAACTTTAAGACTTGTGGACTTTAACTCCTAGAATCCTTGAGCCAGCTTAGCTGGCTGGGAAATTCTGGGAATTGAAGTCCACAGGTCTTAAAAGTTGCCAAAGTTAGACACCCCCATTCAAGGCAGTACTTATACTAAACTTCCCCCTTTTTTAATGATTTGTGAGTATCTAAATTATTTTCACAACATCCCTGAATAATCACCGAATAGCATTCAAAAGTAGCCCTATCCAGTATGGCAGCCCACTTGCTAGCCATCCTGAGCTCTGTTTTTTCAAATTCTCACCCTTGCATGAACAGATACTTCTTGTTGATCCACAAACATTTGTATCCACATTTATTTGCAATTATTAGCAGTATTTTTTCCCCAAGGGGTACTATTTTAGGGTTAGGGTTAGAATCCCAGTCTTCATGAATTTCTGTCAAATTTGCACACACCCTGTCATTAAACCTTGGGAAGCCGTTTTAAAACTTTTGAGGGTGATTTTTAAAGCCTTGGTCTGAGAATGTCAGCAGCCCCGTGACTCTCTTCCTTCCTTCCTCTTTTTTCCAGGTTTAAACAGGACATGCAACAGCTCCAGTGTTCCATCTTCTACTTCAGGCAGGCCAGACTACTTGCTGTAAGTGTGGAAGGAGCCTCGTAAGCAGCAAAAGTATTTTTCAGCATGCAGAGAGAGACCTGGAAAAAAAAAGATAGGGCTGCTTTCATCACAAGCCATGAGCTGCTGTGCTTGAACAAATTCAGAAATATCTCTTCCAATGATTATTGAAGCAGGGGGAAAGAAGTCTTTGACTTAAAGTAGTTCATTTAGCAACCACTGGAAGTTGCAGTGGCACTGAAAAAAGTGACTTGTGATCAGTCATTGCACACAACCGTTTCAGAGTCCCTTGTGGTCACATGATCAAAATTCAGGTGCTTGGCAACTAGCATGTACTGTATGTACAACTTGCAGCATCCCAAGTCATGTGATCACCATTTGCAACCTTCACAGATAGTTTTCCACAAGCAGAGTTAGTGAAGGAAGCCAGATGCACTTAACAGCTGCAGGTTGATTTAACAACAGTGATTTCCTTAACAGCCATGCAAAAAAAAAGTTATAAAATTGGGCACTTCTTGCTTAGCAGGGGACAATCTGGTTTAATTTCAGTTGTAAGTTGAGGACTTCTTGTACAGCCAACAAAATTTGGTTTAGGATTTTCCTTCATAAAGGAGCTAGCCCCAATGTACCAGCAATAGATAGATGGATGTTTTATTGTTAATTGCTTGTGGCTAGTTTACTTTTTATTTATTTGTTTGCTTATTTCCCACCTTTAGTATTTTGACAAATAACTCAAAAGGGGCAAATATATCCAGCACATGCCCCTCTATTTTCCCCACAGCAACAACTCTGTTAGGTGGGTTGGGCTAAGAGAGGGCGACTGGCCCAAAGTCACTCAGGTGGCTTTCATGCCTAAGGTGGGACTTGAACTCACAGTCTCTTGCTTTCGAGCCCTGGTGCCTTAACCATTAACCCAAACTGGCTCTCTTTGGCCCTAGTCAACAGTTGCCATTGATCAACCCACCTTGCTGTACATTTTCATTATATTTATTTAAACTGTTCTTTTAATGACCACCAGCATAGCAGCAAATATTATGTGCAGATGGCATTAGGTGGAGAATTGCTATACTTCCTTTTGTTTGTCTTCAACAATCTTCTTGTTGGTTAATCCCCAAATATTACGCACCTGAATGCAGCTGCACCATCTGTTTGGCTAACAATAGCTTAATAGTTACTGTCAAGTTTTTCCAGTCATTAGTCATTCCTTATCCTTTGAGAAAATATTTTCATTGTTCTTTTGGGCCTAATATCATACCAGCCATCCTCACCATGAAGCTCTGGATGGGCTGCATTGTGCCATAGACCAAATACTCTG